GTGCTTGGAGCAGCCTGCTCTATTGGAAGGTGTCCCTGCCCGGGGCAGGGAGCTGGAACTAGGTGAGCTTTAAAGTCCCTTCAACCCAAATCATTCCATGATTCTATGAAGGCAGACAGAAGAAATCCTAATCTAGGCAGAATCCATAAAGATCATCTCCTGGTCCTAAAGCCAGGGTGCACTGCAGACTTTTGCTGTGGCAATAGGAAGTCTGTGACCAGCCGCCAAAGGCTCACACTGCATTTACCTTATTTCTGATGCTTTCCCAAAGCATCCATTACACCCTGAACTGCTTCCAGAAAGTCAAAGGTGAAGCACAGAGCAGCAGTCTGAGCAAGAGATAGGTCTGGTCCACAACACTGAGCCAGAAGTAACAGGATGTCTCCTGATCAGCAGAGACCAAGAACCTTCCGCACAGCACACACCAGGGTGCATAAACCAAGCGGGCCAAGCACAGGAGCGTTCCTCCTGTGCTGCACTTGCCCCTTAGTCCCGAGCTGTCTGTTAGGCGAGATGACAGCACCCTGAAGCAGGAATAATCCCCATCCCTTCCTGCCAGCCGAGGCGCGCGGGGCTCTGCAGGGGCCTGGTGGGTGCTGCAGCATTTGCCTTCCAACCGTCACCCTCTCCGGTGAAAGCCGCTTCGCACGTCCAACCCCTTCAGCTCCCTGGTCAGGGACGGAGCAGACCTGGGGCACTGAGACACAGTGACCGCAGAGCAGGAGACCCAGGGCTCCGCTCCTGGGGGTGGTCGTCGTCACTGAGCCCCTGCAGGCTCACACTGGAGTCACAAGCAAGGATTACAGGCAGCCGGCCTGGCCCCCACTACACAGTGCCCAGAGCTCTTCTCTGGTGCAGGCAAAACTGCTCTTGGGATGAGCACATGGACCTACCATGGACAGGACCAGCAGCACAGGACCACCCAGCAGCCAGACACCAGCAGCAGATGCTGCCGCTTGAGCGGGCTCAGATGCTGCTGCTCATGCCTCTCCCCGACAGGGACTGCCTCAGCCTCCCTCAGAAAAGCCCCTTAGGCTTCTTCCCTTCTCCTGCAGCAAAACCCCAGAAGGGAAGATGACCCAGCACAGGTGAACAGCCACAGATTAGTCATGTGCTGGATTGTTACAGGACTGAGGCTTCCCCCCCTTCAACATGAGCATCAGACAAGTGCCCAGTCAGAGCTCGACACCTTGTCACCACCTCACCAGTCTGGGGACCCGAACACGATGCTCCAGACTTCCCCAAAGGTCTGTGGCTCCTTGGGTCTGAGCGGGGGCTGCAGAAGTCATCTGCAGAGGTACATCACAGTGCTGCCTGCCTGAGGGCTGTTCTGCTGCCATCTCTATCCACAGGCTGGGAAACCTGCACGAGGCAGCAGCAGCCCGGACTGAGCCAACCAGTGCCAGGGTGTCTTGTGAGCCCCACAGAAGAGACACAGAATCTCTCAGAACCACTGCCAGCACCAAAAGCACAACCTGGTTTCCCCCTGCATGGTTGTGTGCCAAAGGCTCGGCACAGCAATCCCAGCCAAAGCCCTGGCCTCAGACCACACAGCAGCGACCACTGGTTTTGCCATTAAAGTCAATGGAATCCAGACTGGGCCATCCCAGGCCTTTCAAGAGCAGCTGGGAGCGGGGGTAATTGCCAGGGGATCAGGCAGGTGAAGAAGAGATCTTGTGCCTATCCTATAGTCACCAAGCTGCAGCAGAGCTGAAGCCTGGCCTCGCCCAGCCTTATGCTTGGAAGCCATCACATTTTCTGCTCCCATCAGCCCACAAAGGTATCTGTGAGCCTGACTCTATCCCAGAACACCCTGGCATCTGGGCATCCTAACCACAGCTGGACCCAGCACACATTTTCCTCCATGGTTTCCTCTTAGCTCAGTAGCTCTGGCATGGACACAAACTTGTCACCTTGTGAACACCACTCAGCTGGGCCACCCTGCTCCCCATCTGTGTACCTGCCAGCCCAGGCATGCCACAGGCAAACGCTTCATTCCAAGACATACAAACTTTAATATTAAAATAATTTTGTATAAAAATACTTCTGGAAACAGTCTCTCATGCACCACAACGGGCATCACAGCCCTATTCCTGGCCAGAGGGAGCCAGAGCAGAGCCAGAGCAGTAGGCAGAGGGTGATGGAGCCAGCTCCAGAGCAGAGCAGCACCAGCCATGGCTCTCTTGCTCTTGCTGTGGAAAGGGCCTCCATGGAAACACAGCCCCTGAGCAATGGAGAGCATCAGCCAGAGCAGTCCCTGGCCCCAAGCCACCCCCAGAGCCCCATGGAGGACACCACTGCGCATGGATGGGCCCCCC